ATTTACTTCTAGGTGCCCATAATATTTGTTTTTTCATATAGCAAACTTTTATTTTTGGTGAATTCATTTTCATATTGTTTAAGTTATTTATCCTTTGTTTTGGTTTCTATGAATTACCTTTTATATACGAGAAAAGAAGTTAAATCATACCTGTTCTTAGGAAGGCGTATATACTCCATCTGCAGATAATATAGATGTTGGTTGGTTGTCAAGATTCTTTATATCTCATCCCACATAGCCACTAATGCCACTTTTTAACGTTTTATTTGCAACATAACATCCATCCAGAAAAATGCACATGTCGTAGAGGTACAGCTTGATGAGTGTCTACAAACTGAACATGTTCATTGAATCAACATTCATAGCAAAACCAGAACATTACCAATTCTCGGAAGTCCCTCTCATGCCCACTTTCAGTCATTACTCAGCCCCTCCCTCAAGGTAACCACTACCTGACTTCTTTTTTTTCTCCTGACATTTAAATGTTTAACATGATACTCTATAACCAAATCATACAAGAATTTGTTCACCTAATGTCCAGCAAGCCAGTAAAAACTGTCACTGAGCTTTTGCAGTGAAGAAAGATAGGCTATTTATTGGTGTGGCACTACCCAGGAGAATGGGAAGCTAATACTCTATAGTCCTGAACTCCCCAATGGCTTGCAAGTGAGAGCATTGAAAATTTACGCAAGGGTCTCCTGAGGAAGTGGACATCATTGAGTGGAGGTCCATGAGGTAATGCAAGCAGAGATCTCCTGAGAAGGCAGATATTATTGAGTGGAAGGCCATGAAGTAATGCTAGAAGGTCTCCTGAGAAGGTGGACATTGTTGAGTGGAGGCTCATGAGGTCATGCTAACAGGTGCTCTGATTCTGCTTCATCTGGCCCCCTGAAGTGTTTTCTATTTCAAGAGCCTTAGATTCTGAAAAATATCTTTATTCTTTCTGTGAGAGATTGTATTGGGTACATTTGGTAATTATATTTTTAAGGTAGTGTTGATTAACTACTTTTAAGCTAGTGGGGTTACATTCCTACAGGTTCCCTAGTCTGTCTAGCCATGACTGGCGTGGTATAACCTCTAGGGTTCATTCTTGCATCTGAACTGACAAGATAGATTCTGGCTTCAACTCCACATGATTTTGGCAACAATGCAGAAGTATCATGCTACATATATCTCAATCTCACAATTGGTCTTATTTATGTTTTCTTCCTTACCACATTATTGAGTGGTGAAAGATGATATTAATTTCAACTTTGAAATAATTCACAGAGGATTTCTGAATTCAACAATAGATTTCAAAACTCAGCCTCATGACTCTTAAGAAGTATGGGATTGTGGTATCAGGGTATTTGCTCCTTTTAGCCGTCTACTTCTCAAATCAAGGGCAAGAAAAATAAAAACCTAAGTAAATCTGCTACATTATCCACTATGGAAAAGAAACACTTGAAATCTATAGGCTCATAATGTATCATTACTAAGAGGGAGGACATGATGTGAGATAATTTTTATAAGTTTATTTAAAGCCCCTGTAGTCTAATACAATATGAATGTTATGTTTTCTAGAAAACATGAAGTCACTTTCTATCTAATTTACAGAAATTATTATTCACAAATTATTTTCTTTAATTAGATCTGTTATTATGGCTAGACGACTTGTACTAATCTATTGGTGCTACTATTTCAGTAGAAAATAGAACATATTTTATTCTTTCTCAATAAAGCTTGTCTGCATTGCTGCAAAAATACATCAGCTTTCTAGGGCTTTTTATGTCAAAAGCAAAAGGCAAAATAGTTAAGAGTCAAGAGGCTTTATTTAGCATTCCAACCTAGGATTGTGGCTAAGTTCTACCAAAGATTATATAAGTATTTGGGGGCTAATGGCTTAATATATGGCTCAATTCTTTGCTTGTAATAGAAGATTATAATAAGTCCTTGTTTCTGTAGATTGTCTCTGTTTCTTTCTGGTCTATGTTACCTTTGGGCTCTCTCTTCACTTATGGGATCCCCTTTAATATTTCTTGCAAGGCTGGTTTAGTGGTCACATATTGTTTTAGTTTTGTTTGTTTGTTTGTTTGTTTTAGAAGCTTTTTATCTCTCCTTCCATTTTGAATGACAGCCTTGCTGAATAAAGTATTCTTGCCTGCATGTTTTTCTCTTAGTACGCTGAATATATCATGCCAGCCCTTTCTGGCCTGCCAGGTCTTTGTGGATAGGTCTGTTACCAGTCTAATGTGTCTACTCCTGTAGGTTAAGAACCTCTTGTCTTGATCTGCTTTCAAGATTTTCTCTTTATCTCTGAAACTTGCAGTCTTCCCTATTATATGTCAGGGTGTTGATCTATTTTTATTGATTTTTGGAGGGGTCCTCTCTACTTCTTGGACTTGAATGCCTGTTTCCTTCCCAAGATTAGGGAAATTCTCAGTTATAATTTGCTCAAATATACTTTCTGCTCCGCTTTCTCTCTCTTCTTTCTCAATGACCCCAATAATTCTAATATTATTTTGTTTTATGGTACAGCTGACTTTTCATGGCTACCCCAAAGATACCAATGTAGTGATCCGAAGGGACACCTGCACACCACTGTTCATACCCAAACTGTGAAAAGAGCCAAGATGTCCATTGATAGATAAATGGTTAAAGATGTAATATATATATACATACACACACACACACACACACACACACACACACACAATGGAATATTACTCAGCCATCAGAAAGGAAAAATACCATTTATGTCAATGTGGTTGGAACTGGGGGGTATAATGCTGAGTGAAATAAGTCAATCAGAGAAAGACAATTATATGGTATCAATCACATGTGGAATATAAGAAACAGTGCAGAGAGTCATAGAAGAAGGGAAGGAAAACTGAATAGGAAGCCATCAGAGAAGGAGAAAAACCATGAGAAACTCTTAACTATAGGAAACAAACTGAGAGTTCTTGGAAGGGAGGTGGAGGGGGGTGGATAGGGTAACTGAGTGATGAGCATTAAGGAGGGCATGTAATGTGATGACCACTGGGTATTATACACAACTGATAAATCATTGCATACTACATCTGAAACTAATGTTGTACTATGTGTTGGCTAATCAAATTTAAATAAAATTTTAAAAAATAAGTTTATAATAAATAACACAGAATTAATAATACATAATTAATACATAAATTATAATACATAATACTAAATTAAAACAAGTATGCATGTCATTTAATATGGTGCCTAGCACATAGAAAGCCTTTAATAAATGGACTGCTACTCTGATTTCTTATAGAATAGATTAACTTTACCTCCTTTTTAATCAGATAGTGTATATTCTTTTGTGCCTGCCTTTTTCTGTTGGCCGACATTATGTTTCAGAGCTTCAAGTGTGTTCTTGTACAAGCTATAATTTTTTCATTTTCAAAGATGTACAGATTTCAATTGTGTCAACATGTCACAATTTACTTATCTATTCTATTGCAGGTGGTCATTCCACTTGGGAAATACTACAAATAATGCTACTGTCAATATTCTATTTCTACCACATGTCTTTAGGGAAGCATATGTATGTATTTCTGTTGATCATATACCTGGAAGTGGCATTACTGAACCACATGGTATATACATAAATGTCAAAACAATTTTCCATTCAACAGTATATAAGAGTCCCAGGTGCTCTACAACCCCACCACAGCTTGGCATTTTCTGTCTTTTTCATTTTATTTATTCTGGTGGGTGTGTACTTGTGTCTCATTGTGGTTTTAGTTTATTTCCTTGATGACTGATAAAGTGGAGCACATAGATCAGTATTAGTTTGTAGCTGGCCTGCAGGCCCCATTCCGAAGTGAGGACCAGTCAAAGGCCATGAACACTCAGGGATTTTCGTCAGAGCTCCTCACAGAAGCAAAGCTGAGACAGGGAACTTGCCAGCTTTCCCCTGCTGTCTACAAGTAGCTATCCAGTTTGTTGTTTTATTATGTTTATTTTATAGCTCACCTTTGTCATGAGGGCAAAGGCTCTAGCATTCACACACATTTGGGATGGCTGCGAATCACTTTCTGCCTGTGAGAGTGTGTGCTCTGTCTCTAGCTTCTCTGCATTAGAGGCTCTAATTAGTTCTTCTGATCCACATAGGCCTTCAGGACATCCAGAGTTTTCTGCTCACTTATGCTCCTGATCTCAGCTCCCACTTCTTTTTTTTTTTCCATCACAATTTTTTCCCCTCTCTGGAAGTTTCACCTTTTGACTTAAAAGGTTGTTTTTTCACATTTTGTTCCTATTTCTAGGTGTGGCAAAACAAGAAGATTTCAGGAATTTTCGTTCTCCACTTTGTTTTAAGAATGACATATAAATAGGTACTCTGAATATGGTTTATTGTGCTAGCAAAACACTCGTGACTTGTGGTGGCAAGGCCTCTGCTCTTCTCAGGGCCCACTGATACTTGGAAAGAATTTTGGTGTCATTGAGGCCCCATATCACACAAGAAGGCCAATCTTCCTCTCCTTGCATAGTGACTCTGCAAAGTGTTCTGTGAAGCTCCCCATCACATAAATCATCCAAAGCACTAATAGGCCTCACTAGCAAAGGAAAATAGACAGAAGTGTTTCTCTACTCCATTCTGAAGAGAAGAGTGGGGTCTCTGTTCCTATGAGAATCCATAACATCAGACCTTTAGAAAGAAACTAAGCTAATAGACTATTGGGTACAAAGGTAGACACAGATGATGAGAACATCTGTTCTCAAAAGTATGAGGAAAATACTTTCCTTTTCACAAAAGTATGAGGAAAATAAAGTACCCACACAAAGGAAGTAAAGGGAAAACATAAGAAGCAGCATTGTCTAATTATTTATAAGATTCAGCAAGCCACTATATTTTGAAATATTTCACTTTATTAAATTTCTTGTGACACTATCTTCTTAGCTGATGAGCTAACATTGAAAGTGCTTCATACCTAGGCTGCATGCGGAATTAAACACTTGAAATCATATACCTATATGGTTCACCATGGCTCAAAAGCATCTACTGATTATAAACAAATCACTACATTTGCCATTTTTATTAGCTCCGAAAGCAACATTGTAACTTTAGTTTTGTGATCAGGTCCAGTGAGAAATAGAGTTCTCCCTAATCTATTACCCTGTGGATAATTCTTTTTTGAAACAGAGAAAAAATTCTCAGCCTTTCATTCACCGAAGTCAACTAAATAATTTCCCTTTTTAAACAACTTCGTTGTAATTTAATACATTTTTGATAGCTTCAAGAAATGAAATAAAAGAAGGTTGTTTCAAAATCATGATGCATCTGCTAAACATCTAAACAATTCTAGTTCATCTTTCATTACAGGAACAAAGGCATTTAAAAAAGAGATGTTAATATCTGTGAAAACAAAGTCGTCTGTATTCACGTGTGCACCAGTCTCCTGAATTTTGTGAAGGAAAAACAAAATGCGGACAACACTCTGTGGACCCTGAGGGATGACCCAGTTAGTCCTTCATCAGCATTCTGTGATAATAGAATGTGGACTTCTGCTCGTTAAAATCCACTGACCATTGAGGCTAACTGCCAGGAGACTGGATTCTGACTTCCGACCATTGGTATCTTTGTGAAAATCGGTCTACATCCACCCTTTAAAAGCACTGATGAATCAGAACTTGAAAGCAAAGAAAAATTGACAAATTTTAGTAAAACAAAGGAGTTGTTAAATACAAACTAGAAGGAGGCAAGACTTAACTTACAATTTACCCTATAAGAACAAATGTAGTTGCCGCGTTAATAGGAAAAAATGAACAGCACGTGTATTGAAGAACAACACTACCTGGATCACTACTTGTTTCCAGTCGTTTACATCTTTGTGGTCATAGCCAGTGTTCCAGCCAACATCGGGTCTCTGTGTGTGTCTTTTCTGCAAGCAAAGAAGGAGAATGAACTAGGAATTTACCTCTTCAGTTTATCACTATCAGATCTGCTCTACACGTTAACTCTCCCTCTATGGATTGATTACACTTTGAATAACGACAACTGGACTTTCTCTCCTGCCTTGTGCAAGAGCAGTGCTTTCTTCATGTACATGAACTTTTACAGCAGCACAGCGTTCCTCACCTGTATCGCCATTGATCGGTACTTAGCGGTGGTCCACCCTTTGAAGTTTTCTTTTCTAAGAACAAGAAGGTTTGCATTCGTGGTCAGCCTATCCATCTGGGTATTGGAAACCATGTTCAATGGCGTCATTCTGTGGGAAGATGAAACAGCTATAGAATATTGTGATGCCAAAAAGTCTAATTTTACTTTATGCTATGACAAATACCCCCTAGAGAAGTGGCAAATCAGTTTGAACTTGTTTAGGACGTGTACAGGCTATGCAATACCATTGGTCATTATAATGATTTGCAACCAGAAAGTCTACCAAGCTGTGCAGCATAATCAAGCCACGGAAGATGGTGAAAAGAAGAGAATCATAAAACTGCTTATGAGTATCACGTTGACTTTTGTCTTGTGTTTTACTCCCTTTCATGTGATGCTGCTGATTCGCAGCATCTTAGAGCATGATGTGGACTTCAATGAACATATCTTTGACCACAACAAGTCTGGGAGGCAGACTTACAAAATGTACAGAATCACAGTTGCATTAACAAGTTTAAATTGTGTGGCAGATCCAATTCTGTACTGTTTTGTAACTGAAACAGGAAGATCTGATATGTGGAATATACTAAAATTCTGTACTGGGAAGCTTAATAACTCACAAGGACAAAGAAAAAGGATATTTTCTATGTCTACAAGAGATACCATGGAATTAGACATCTTGGAGTAGGAGCAAAGAATGTTTATAAGGTACACAGTAGCATATCATCAAGATGATATTTTGAAGAGGAAATCAAACATGGGAGAGGACTAAGTGTTCCAATTGAGTATTTTAATCTTTTAGAAGCATGGTGTATAGTTCCCTGACTTTTGTTAAATTGAATATTAAACAAAGCTTAATATAATCCTAATGACTCAAGATCATTATTATCGATAGCAATTCTTTTTTTTTTTTAATCTATGCTATAACCTTTCAGAAGTTAGTAGATGTACAGAACTCTGGTCCTTAAATCAGTGAGATTTGTGTCTGGTTTTCATGATTTTTGTCACTCTTTCTATGGATTTCAGACCATCAACTATCACTTTTCCCAAAAGTAGTACCTATCTCCAACAACCCCAACTCCTAAATATCGCTTCTAATCTTCCCATTAGATAACAAAAATTTATTAAGCCCCCTCTATGTACTAAGCTTTGTGTTAACTACTGGGGTTACAAAAGAAATGGTCTCATGAAGTCAGACGAAGCTTACATCAGTTTGGAAACCTAGTCATTGGGCTTGTAAGGCTTTTTATAAAGAAAGTAAATAGGAGTCTGAAGGCCTCTTCCATGATATAAAGCTATGGGCTACGTGAATATTCTTTCAGCTACTCAGAGACATTCTTTAGTTTCTTCAAAATCATAATTTAAAAAAAAAAATTTACAGTTGAGTACAACATAGCTAAAGTTACCAGAAGCTTAATGTTTAGACAAAAAGCTATATTAAAGACAACAAAGACACATATTCTATTAAACCTTAGAGTCAGAGACTTCTTTTTGGACTTAACATATTTAGAGAATGTTGATATAATACATTCTTTTATGTTTATAATTCTTTGTAGAAATTATTCTGCCTAGTTTTAAGTAGGCATTCATTATATAAATGTTTTTGTGAACCAAAGTATTTTTCCAGATTTAAAAAAAAATTTTATAATGCACTTCTCCTTATTTCTCTTTCCTGTCTGTTTCTTATCTGTTCCTTCTACTCCCCCTCCCTGCAAAATGATCTGATAGCAAATGTCCTGGTACCATTTGGTGCCCTCACATTAGAAAACAAACATCCTGGGAACAAGACTATATCTTTTCAGTAATAAATTTGTAGACACACACTGAAAAACCAGTGAGTGCACAAACAGACTAAATTTTCTATTACACTTTTTTTGTGATGGTTTAGGTACACAAGAGAAAACCACCTTGCTTTGAGGTCATTTGTGTATTCCCTGTTCTTTGTATTTTTATGATCATAAAATTTTTGGAGACTTAGTAGATTCTGTTTTGTCACGCTGAGATGCATTTACATATGCTTAAAGGCTAAAGATATGCCATTAAAATGAAGAGTAATTAAAACAGTTTAGGCCGTTTGATTAATTATTGATAAGTTATTGGCAACCTATAAGTTGAATACTTGCAAAACCAAGAGATCCAAAACCAATTTTACCCACATATGAAAACCCAAAATGCTGATTATCCTGTCCAAGATGACACAGTTAGTTGGAAGCAGGGTCAGCTTTGAACCCCCAGATCCAGACTACCCTCTAGAGTTACTTTTCCTCCTTCATGTTTATTTGTTTGTTTTTAACATTTCTATCATTTCTTTCTTTAGGGATGCAAAAGATTTAGAGGCATGAAGAGTTGTTCAGGAGAGTCATTGAACTTAGATCAAGATAAGGGGGGAAAGGAGAGTTATTTTATTAATGAATGCCTCTGGGACCATAATAAATCATGCGGGTAGTACCTAAGCTCATCTGTTACAAAGAATTGGTTAGGCAGTTTGCCTCAGTTGGTTATATAAAGAGATGCAGCAAATACAAATTCATGGCACCCTTAATAACAATGTCCTTCCAGTGATTAACAGCAGACTCATTCGTTCAGAATGCTGTAGGATAAGTTAAAAATGAACCAGACCTCCAAAATCTTCGAGCAGCCTCACCATCCTGACTGAGCAGGGCCGGCCTCAGAGAATCCCCAGTGGCGGGATGCTCTCATAATTTTAGGACAAAGCACTCTAGATATGATCTAAAATTTTCTACAGTCTTGACATTGGAAAGTTAATCCTTCAGTTTTGAAAAGCTTTTTAAGCTCCTAACTACAGTCCTCCATTAAACTGAAAGTATATCTGGAAGGAGAAAGACCCTGTAGCTATTATCACCTGGGACTTGGTTCGCAGAAGACCTAGACTAGAACACCACTGACCACCCACTGTCTGACCTTAAAGAGTTTTGGTGTTTTCCCTAAGGCTCAGTTTCTATACGCTGCAGGGGCAACAGCAATACTAGCTTTTAACAAGTAAGTGTGAAAACCACTGTAAACGTTGGTGAGATTTCTAGATGTTCATTATTAGTTATTTTCATCTTTATCAGGATTAGTGGACAGCTACCCAAGAGATAGAAAAGTCCCCAGGACATTGGGGTAGAAATGTGGCAACATGAGCTGATGGCAGCTGGCTGCAGCACACCGCGGCTGTGGTTTCTTCTTCCGGGGTGGATAAACACAACTGTGAAGGTAAGTTAGGGGTGTTGGTGGTTCCTGGCTCTGTGTCACGTTCTCAATCCTGCCTGCTCCTGGGGGTCACAGTACTGAGGAGAGATCCACTGTGGACATCACAATGAACAGAGGGGTGGACACTCCTTTTTAATTTGTTCATATTTTCTGGATTTTTATTTCCTTATTCAGAATGTTGGGGGTTTTTTTAAGATTTGTTTATTTTAGAGAGAGAGAGAGAGAGAGAGAGAGAGCACATGTGCTGGGAGGAGGGGCAGAGGGAAGGGGCTCCCTGATACAGAGCAGGGAGCCTGACGTGGTTTGATCTCATAGCGCTGAAATCAAGAGTCAGATACTACCGTTAAGCATCTGCCTTTGGCTGGGATAAGGATCCTGGGGTGTCGGGATCGAGCCCCACATTGGGCTTTCTGCTCGATGGAGAGCCTGCTTCTCTCTCCCCACTGCTTGTGCTCCCTCTTGCTCTCTCTCTCAAATAAATAAACAAAATGTAAAAAAAAAAAAAAAAAAACAGAATCAGATGCTTAACTGACTGCACCACCCAGGTACCCCTACTTTTTATTCTAATGAACTAGCTAGACATATTAGATAGGCCAGTGAGGCAACTGAATACAGATTTTTAAAATCTCCATCTTTCCTACCTAGTCTGAAGAAGCTTCATGGGAGAAGGGGAAGTGAAAACACATCAGAAATAACCACCTCGTTTGTATTAAATGATATAGCATCATCTCCTTAGGGGCAACCCAAGCAAATCTGCTTCCCCAACCTCATTAATTCCATTGATTCCATTTTCTCTTTGCACTTTAAGCCATAAATTTTCCCCAAAACATAATGTTCCATTCTGTAATGTTAAAATCAAGCAAACAATTATTTACTAATTGCCTCTGTTGACTTTGTGAATTTGACTTACTTATTTTGAATCACGCAGGACCAATTTTAAAATAGAACCTGTGGTGCATGGCATGTAAGCATTTCTGTTTTCCAACACTTTTATCTTGCCCTGGGCTTCCTTTAGTCCAGCCACACTGTCATCCTTCTGTCATTTATGCATGGGGCCTCTGTTCTTTTCTGGCTAAACTCATCCACAGGTTGCTATGGAAACACAACAGCTACTGTAGCATCGTGACCCAAGAAGGCCTTTGTGATGGTAGATTTCTTTCTCTAGGTCCATTGGGTCACCCTGCCATGGATCAGTAGGCTATTCCTCCAACAGACACACTCACACACAAATTAACGCATATTCACAGATACAAACAACGTTCCCCCCTGTCAAAAAACAAAAATTCCTGGGATCTTTCAGCACATGTTTGTATTAATTGTGTAAGACATCTAATACCATCTAGAACACACATTACCTCCTTAATTTCTGAAATAATGCACCATGTGGGGGTTTTCATTTTCTTGTTTACTAGATTAGCAGTTGGCGGGAGTCAGGGTGGTGGAGGGGACATTGTTGAGATCCTCCATGCCCATCCCTACTTCTTTCTCTTTCCCTCAACCAGAAGTGGCTGCCAAGGACTATTCTGGAAAAATCCAGTTACGACTGGGTTGTTTCATTTACATCTTCTAGGCAGACACACCTATGGGGGAGGATGACAAGAGGTTAATCTAAAAGAAAGCAGAAATGTCCTGTTTTGTTCTTTGTTCATAATAGAAACACCTGATTGGATTCAACTTTAAAAAAAAATGACCATTTATTCCTTTTACTCTTTGGTATTTCATACAGTTTAAAGATGAAGCACAAGGTGATTAAGTTCATGTTATTTAGTTGCATGGACTGAATGCCCCTTGTTTGCAGGAATAAGCAGACAATGGCAAAATGGGTTCAAACTTGGGTAAGGGAGAAGGAAGCCACGTGGGTGTTTAGATTCCTCCTCCTCCAAAAATCTTTGTTTTTGCTACATCATTTGTTGCTGGCCAAGAAAAATCACACAGATGCTTTGCCGGTGGCCACTAGGTGTCCATCATGTTCTGTTTAGAACCTTGTACTTCCCGGCTAACTGCCACTCCCAAAGAGCAGAGTAGAGTAATGTGATATTCCTCTACCCAAGAAACAAGAAATATCCCCTATAAATTGAAAATGAAGGGGGGAAATGTTGACATTCAGTTTGCATCATGTGTTTCTCTACTTTCTGGAAAACTCAGTAATCATCAGATAATTTCACTTGATTTAACCTCAATGTATCATTTTAGTATTATTTTTTTCAGCTGCTCAAAAATGATCAGTCCACAGGTAAGAGAACATAATTGCATAATTTCTGAAGGATGTGGCTATAACATGGATAATGTGTTCTTATTCAGTTATCTTACCCATATAAGAAAATACCACCTGTAACATAAGTAGAAACATAAAACTTTTGAGCTATCAGAAGTTTGCAATTTTGTCTACTGTGATAAAATTATTGTCTATGAAATTCAAGGTGCAATTCAATATATGTATGATTTTCAGCTTCAAATTTTTTTGTTATCTCTCAGCACTACAAATGTATCTGTTATTTTGAGTTGTTTGAATCTGTTCCTCCCCAAAGAACAGTAATACAGTCATAATTTAAAAGCATTTGCATACAATTAAATATATAGTGGCCTGTAATCTGTTTATTC